AGTTACTTCGTGGCCATACCACAATAAAGAGGAATAAAGATACATTAGCTACCTCAGGGCTGAAGATCAGGTGATTCATTTGCTTTTTGCGCGGAAAAACCTTTATAGGTATATATATTTATAGCAACCAGTTGCATCCGAGGATACGTGTTTTATAATTCCGCGCGCACCTCACTACTGTGCACACGTGTCTCGCCACTGCCTCGCTCGCCTCCCTTGAATAGGTCATGTGAAACACGCCTTATGAGTCGAGAATAATCATTCGTTTCAACGCGAAGGTGAAACAGTTGCCAAAGTGTGTTTAACGATGCGGTCATAGCTCGCGTTTAGGCGTCTCGGAGTAAACATTGGTGTAGCTCCGCTGTGGTTTCGTAACTGTACGTCGTATGGCACAATGGCATAACAAACACGTAGCTTTATTTTATTTGATGATCGTACGCCGCTTCTTAGATCCCTGACGTCATGTTTTATAACCATATAGGAACTAACATAAGAGCTTGAACGCCAGTTAGCAATTAACTTGATTTTCCGAGTTCAGTCTTTGTCTTAAAAACACTTCACTTGAAGGATTTATATTAAATTTTCTATTGGCGACTCGAATTAGTGGCCATGAAACCCTTCTTATATCTTTATACATAAAAACAAAACGGTTCAGTACCTTTTGCTCCTCTATTTGTCAACCGTATCAACTTCTGTACCAGGAAAAACTCCGTAGTAATGTTTGAATTATAATAATTTGCCATTGTTTGGTACGGACATTACATAAGTTATGCTCTTGCTTTTCTTATCTGTGCGGTTTTAATATTATAACAAAGAGAAAGTGTATGGTTTTTTTTATTATGTTAATTTTTAATTACAATTTTTCTAAGGTGAAAGTAGGTGACTGGTTACAACTAAGTAGCTGATAATATTAAAAACTTCAACTTCAAACATAGCGATCAATTTAATTTTTTGCCCGTGTCCGCTGAAATTACTCCAATACTGATCATATCTCTTAATATTAGGTATATCCCTCTCTTCCTACGTAGTTTGATTCCTTTTTGCGTAATATTAAAGAATTCATATTATGAATTTAGTTCGTGCTTAAATTGTTCTCCAGTTATGTTTATGTTTAACACATTATAAGTTGTCTATTGTAAGTTTATTTATATATTAAAAATTACACTATGTGCTCGCAACTTTACTATAAATTTGACATGTAACAGTACATCTCCATAGCGCTGCGCGGTTCTTGAAGCTGTTAAGTCTTATGCCCAGTTTCCGAAAGGCCAATCAAAGCAGCAATCACATAACACTATGTCAAAAATGATCAGCTGTTAATCTCTTGTTAATCTGCCTTGGGTTTCTGGAAGGTTTGTTCAAGAAAAATTTGCTGATCACTGTATAACCAATGATAATGAATGAAATGAATGATTTACATCAACTAACTCTTTATATTGTATAGCTGTCCCTTTTTAAACAAAACTTAAATTAACGTCACTATCCAGTCCTGTCACCGTGTGATTGCCAACGTAAAAATCCGAGCTATAATAAAATTTAATTTATATAAATACATGCAAAATGTCAAAAAGAATAAACTACAGAACGTGAAAAAAATGAACTTTTATCCATAATAAACAAGTAAGTATAATAAAAAGAAAGAATCCATATTATTTATTAACTTTTGAATTGCATTTTGTATTTTTTCTAATCACATGATATGTTCGCATAATAATAAATAATAATTAGGTAACAGAACACATGAATGTCCTAACAAGGTATTAGGGAATTTTGTTTATTTTTAATAAAAACTAAGATTTTTGATAAATAACATTTTTAACCAACGATTGATCGTCCAAATTAACAGATTACTTAATAAAACTTTTGACAGCTCGTTGACCACCGAAAAACGCTTTCAGAAACTCGATTTTCTGTTGATTGTCCGTTAATCAGTGACTAATTGCAAATCAAAATCAATGTTGTTTTAAGACGTTCTAGCAACTCAGATCATGTTAAACAACGATTGACAAGAGATTTATCGTAAATTAAAATTGATTGCGCTTTCGGAAACCGGGTGATAGTGGTAAAACGCTATAGAATAACAATAACGTACCTTACGTTACGCAAGTGAGATGATTGTTGCATAGTCGAAGTGATTGTTATGCCGGCCTGGTACATAAACATTGCCATTTTATATTGGTTTCGAATATTGACTTCCAATAACAATAAATTGTACGTAACGTATAATTACATGAAAGGAATATTTGACCATTGCTTAATGAGTACTAAATATTAAGCAAAGAAAACTGTCAAACCAACTTATACTACGAATAAATCTCTGATTCACAAATAGATTAGTACTATTGTATTATTTACTTTCAATATGTGAAACGAATTGAATTCTCTCGCCCGACTTTCACTCGTCAATTGCATCACGACCCTAGGTCAATTACGGCAATTCCGAAAATGGAGCATTTTCCTCCAACACGAGTCAGCCAACTGATAAGCTTAAGTCACGAATCCCTCTTGAAGCTCACGACCCGTTCTGGTGTACAATAGACGCCTTGTTGTTTCATTAAGGCCCCGTGTACATTCGAAAGTGTACCTCGTGATTGGCTATTGTATGCGGACGCGGATTTTTTTATGTGAGGAGGTGGCAATCGAGCTGGCGGTTCACCCGATGTTAAGCGATAACCGCCGCCCATTGACATTTGCAACACCCGTAGGGTTGCAGATGCGTTGCCACCTTTTAATACAGTGAGCCCCGTCTACCTCGCTCACTAGACGAGACGCAGAAATATGACACTTCCATTACACGCCGGTCTTCTGTGTGGTCGTGGTACTTACCCGGACGGATCTGCCCAATGGTGCGACAGCGAAGACTGTTGCGTGCCCCTACCACAGTTAGATCATCGCGTACCATGCCGTGCGACCGAACGCTGCACTGATTTTGATATTCTTTTTTTATGGGAAACAAGCGGCAAACGAGCAGGATCACCTGATGGTACTTTATTCAAATCTACTCGTCTTGAATCGGGGGCCCCGCGGAGAGAAACCCAATAGATCGCGCCTTATCGGATCAGATAGCGCCGTTTGTGTCTCGTTACTTCGTCCCATGTAGGCGCTGGACCTTTAACAATGACGCGAACCATTTCCGATTCGTCGTAGAAAACGCCCCGCGGCACTTTCACGAAAGCTTTTTGCATTCGTCCGGGGTTTCGAAAGCCGAGCGTCGTTTCTGAATTCGATATTCGCGGTGCATTATCTTCCCTCCCTATTTGAGTACGTTTGCTTTCTGAATTAGGTTTAAAGAACTTTATTCTCATAAGAACATAACATTCACCTTAATATGAGATACAGTGATTAATAAAAACAATATTGAATTTCTCGCCACTGACACTTAAGATTAAGTTCTTTTCCTTGAGCATTGATTTGTTCCAGCGTTTAAGAACGAATGAGGAAATATTTGAAAAAAACCTCTTAACCTTGACTCTACTCGATGAAGTCTCGTACCTACTTTTGTTGCATTTCTATGCATGACTAAGATATTCAATATTTTAGTTACCAATTCAAAGATTTGATGATTCCGTGGCGCAGGCTTCGGCTTCGGGGGTCATGGGTTCGATTCCCACACGGGGCAACTATTTGTGTGACCCACAGTTTTGTCGCATTTGGGTATTTGTCCGCGTGCAATTTATGTTTGTAAAACGTCCTTACAACGAAGGATTATGTTATCCTAAAGTAAGGGCAATGTTTTTAAAAAACTAAACTAAAGAGATACACGAACGCTCCATTCTGTCAATGTGTTGACAAAAAAAATACCGGCTGAAGTTCTGATTGTAATCGAAATATTCGTTTTCAAATTGATTTTATATTTTAACGTACATAATATGATCTTCAAGGTCATATTATACTTGAAAACAAGGATAAACATGTGTATATCTCACCTATGGTCGTACTTTATCGTATGATTAATTTACTGCTGTAGTAGAATCTTGTCCTTCACACACGTCTACGATCAATTATCACTAGTACAATACCTTGCGGTTGAAGTATAGTGTTTATAGGTTAGGAGTCTTTATGCCGCGACGTATCTTTTTCAATGCGAGTCGATTCTTTAATTTCTTTATTTATATTCCTTCGTATTGATATTTCGTTCTTTTCTTGATGTCACAATGCTGTTTTTAATAATATTTATATTCCATGTGATTGATGTCATATGTATGCTTTGTTTCACGTTTCATTATTGTTTGTGAAATAATATTCGTTATTAAAAATAATTCTGTCCTTACCATTTACATGGACACCATTATAACGATAAAAATTATCTTTATCTATACATACCGTATCTCGTTACATGCCATGTTACTTACATGACCTTTCTATAAAATAGTAAAGGCGTTTCAAGAATGAAGACAACGATATTACTGCTTCATGAAGTCAAAAATACTAAATAACAATGGAACCATATCGTATGAAACATTATAGTTCCTTTTTTATGACAGAAGGTAGCCAATGAGTCACTCTACCGTGATTTATTAATACTGTGTGTACGTAGCAATTGCGTTATCCCGCAATGGCGAAACACTTTTCGTAAAATTTTTCTCCTTCTTCAAAGTTAAAATATCTTTATTCAATATAGTCTTAACTTAAGCTCTTATTGAACGTCAAAAAAACTACCACAATCTTTAAAGGGTGTTAACCACTTTTGGTTGTCAACGCATTGGAAGCCGTCGAGTTTTGTAGATATCCATGAGCGCGGCGGCATTCACTTAACATAAGGTGAACCCCCCGCTCGCTCGACAACTTCTCACATCACTACATAGTATAAAACAAAGTCGTCCCGCTGTCTGTCTGTTCCTATGTATGCTTAGATCTTTATAACTACGCAACTTGATGTGTTTTTTTTTTACTAGATAGAGTGATTCAATAGGAAGGTTTATATGCATAATACATTGCCCGCGCGAAGCCGGGGCGGGTCGCTAGTAAACAAAATAATCGAACTCCCAAATGTCCGGCAGGCGAATCGGTCTCCGATCGGGCGGAGAGCGAGGCGCGCGTGGCGACGGAACAGCGCTGCATCGAGGTGCGGATAGCGCGCGCCGCGGGCGGCCTCGGCCTGAGCATCGCCGGCGGCCGCGGCTCCACGCCCTACGTGGGCGACGACGACGGCATCTTCATATCGCGCGTCACGCCCAACGGGCCGGCTTACATGGCCGGCCTAAGGGTGAGCACCACACCTGTCCACCACTTTTTTTAACGCGTGCAAAGTTCTTCGTGGATATTGGGAGTCGGGGGAGCAGTAGGGTTCTGTTCTATTCTATTTTTTTTATTAAAACCATTACCATTACTTTAGAATAACATTATCCCGTACTGTTAGGACGTTTTACCAAAGTAAATTTCACGCGGACATACAGCCAGATGCGAAACAACTATCTGTGGGTCACACAAATAGTTGTCCCGTGTGGGAATCGAACCCGCGACACCCGACGCCGAAGCCAATACTTTGGCAACTGCGCAACGGAGTCATCTGTGTTGAGCTGTCTATGGCGCACCTTTGCGGGTGATACCGGAACGCGAAGATGCAATCTTCTGCGAACCCGGCGCCACCATGGTCTTCCCAGGCCTCATTGCCTCTCCCCGGGTGCTAATCCATGGCCCTGTGCCCGTGCAATTAACACAGAACCCCTCGCGAAATCGCAGCAAGCACTCCCATACCTATCGCCAATATAAAGTTCTTCGGCTTTAGTCGACTCTACGTATTGACAGTGGCTGATATCGATAACGTTTTTCGAAGTAGTACGTGCAATAGGGTGACCTAACTGACCTTGTGGCATTAAAACCTAGTCCTGTTCTCAGCACCAGACGACATTATACGCCGTTGTAAGCTATCATCATTAGTGTGCACTAATGAAGCTTAACATTTTTTACTTCGCCAGTATTAGCCGACAGTGTACTTTTGACGTGAGACATTTGAAAGTGGTGTGCAGCGTAAGATCGCCGCTGTTCGCATTCCTTACATTCATAATACCATTGTGACACGTTTTTGCCTCACTTTTGTGTCCTCTATACGGCGACAGTTCTGCCCGATAAACACTTGCCTAAAGTAACTTTCAGCGTTCAGATTAGAAGTCATGAGAGCTTATTATGGAAAATACAACAACTCATCTCGTGGTCAAAATTTTACATTTTACTTTTAAAATTTCATATATGTACTTTTAAGTATCGTTTCTTTGCGATATAACCACGATTTTATTTGTAGGTTGGCGACAAAGTTCTATCAGTTAACGGCACTTCCGTGGTAGAGGTCGACCATTATTACGCCGTGGAGGTGTTGAAGGCGAGTGGGCCCGTTCTAACACTTGTCGTGACAAGGGACACACCGAATTCCACCAGGTAATTTCATCTATTCGGAATACAACGTTGGCTCTGTGGTCCTTCCATATCCGCCATTTGGTATTGTCGACCAACTAAACAGCTGAAGCAACATACGAAATACTGTATAGTATACAAGATATTTCATAAGAAATAGCATTGGAATGGAACGAAGACTGACTCGTTCGTGTTATTGCGTTTATGGTAAATTTATTATTTTATTGTTTACGGTAAATTTATATATAGTTAATTTTATTCAAATCAATAAGGCATTTATTTCTTTACTTCCATATCTTTGTAAAAATGTTATATTTATGACAATGGACACTTTTTAATTCCAATAACTATAATGAGTCTTTAAATTTTATTTTTATTATGACGGCTACAGCAATATTCACAATTTGAACAAAGATCCAGATCCAGAACGATTATCTGGGGGTCACAAAATTACTCTTCCCGTGTGGGAATCGAACTCACGACCCCCGACACTGAAGCCAATAACTCAGCAACGGCGCTACCGAGTCATCTTTATTGTTTTTGTTAATGATAAATCCATAATGCTTAATTGACCAAAACAATTGAATACATTTAAAATAAATCTTAATAGATAATATTTCATTCGGTCATGCTTACATTTCAGAACTCATAGCCGAGCGCCGAGCGGTGCGAGCCACCATTCTGTGTCCAGTACCACCGACACCGTATCCACTTTAGAGAACGGACAGGTGATTTATGCCCAATATTAATCTACGCTTTCTATCTACCCGCTTTGTTAAGTGCAACACTACGAATTTAGACCAGTTAGATTCGATCAAGTGCAATTTATTTATTTTGTGCGCAATTTCGTTAAACTTATGAGTAATGAGTAACAAGTAAATGAGAATAACACTTTTTTAATTAACTGTCGATGCATTATCAAGAGTCTTTTCGTTTTAATTATTTTGTAACGAGTAAATTATTTAATTAATTATGCATTTGTATATATTCTTGATTGGTATAATCGATAATAGGTCTAATTGGTTTCCAAATTTTATAATGAACGGCTTAATGTAAAAAAAAAAAAACTCATTAAGCTGATAACAAACAAAGCACAGCACAAAATTAAAGTTTCCCTCAATCATCAGGTCCCAACCGGTCGGGGCATCATGAAGCCGCTCATCATCAGCAACCAGTACGCGCAGGAGTTCGAACCCGAGCAGACAGGACCCGCCGCCCGTCCAAACGGCCGCTGCGTCGCCGGCCACCAATTTCCCCTCGCCCCTCAGCCAACCGGCCCCGAACACCTACCAACGGCTGCAAGCGTCACCGCCGCCGCCGCAAACGCAGCCTTACGTCCCTCCAGGTAAGGCTCATTTCGCAACACGTGCCGTGTAGCGATAATTATCTTCGGAACGTCTTAAAGTCGAGTATTGGTCGATACGATTCCATTATTTGAAGATTCATCGAGTGGAGAAAACTGTAATTTTTGTGTAAATAAAAATATTACAGTCTATTTTTAACCCACAACGTAATAAGAGGCGTGTTATAAGTTTGACGTTTCCGTCTGTGTCATCATAGCTTTTAAACGAATGGACCGATTATAGTGCGGGTTTTTTTTTGTTTGAAAGCTAACGTGATCGATGTGGTTCTTAACTTCTTAGCTGTAGTTTAGAGCTATTTTGTGCGTCAAGAGGTTACTTAAAATGTATCATTTTATATTAAGCGTAATGCAAAGCATATTAAGGCATACCCCGCTACGCGATTCCGGATTGGTTAAACTCTATATTCGATATATTTTTTAATTTATTATTATTAATTGATTACAAAGTTTTCTTCACCGCAAATCAAACTCACGGGGAACTCTGATTGGTCTAGCATATTGAGTTAAAAACGGGCGCACTACCGCAGGACTAAACAACGAAATACCTTAATGACCTAACTAATTGACCTTTTCATATCACTAATACTTATAATGCAGTTTATCTGTATTATATATACATTATTTGACGATTCATAAGAGCGCGCAAGTGTCTCTTTTTATAAATATATTTTTGATTTTGATTTTACTACATATTGGACCGGACCAGGTCGCTAGGTTTGTTTCTTATGTAAGTACAGCGCGATATAGTTACCTTGGCATACTTGTCTATTAGAAATGTTCGCACTGACAGTTATTGATGATACGGATACAGATAAAGGCGGAATGTGCTTGCCCATAGAGCAGCGCTCGCGATTTGCATTCATCGGATACAAAAAGCTTGGAGCGCTGAGATAAAGATCAGGGCGATGAACTTGATTTGTCGTTTTCACGGACGTGACATTAATTGAGCACTTTGATGTTGGAATGATGGTGATGTCTTTGTTGAGGTCACTTATCTTCTTTTGGTTATCTGTTGTAATGAAACTAAAGCAAGTTTTCTTTTAGCTCTGCAATATAAGCTGAGACTTTAAAAAGGAACTATATTAGTACAATACAGACAATGAAAAACTAGATGCGACCAAGAGAATAAATTCGCAATTTCTTAGTCATTTTTTACATATATTTATAGTTTTCTTTTTATAAGGTAGCAAGCGAGCAGGCAGTTCACCTGTCGTTTATCATTACAGTAAAATTATCATACCCGCCGCCCTTGGACATCTATAAGACATGTAAGTTTGCATATGCGTGTTCAAACTTTAAATGACTGAGCTTCACTTAGCAGACGATGTAAAAAAAAGTAAAGTATCAGCCTATACATGTCCCACTGCTAAGCAAAGGCTTCCTCTGTACAGAGGATATCAGGGCATAGTCCACCACGCGGCCCCACTGCGGTTTGGCGGACTTCACATATCTTCAAAACATTTTTTTTTGTTATTATTTCGAAAATATGCAGGTTTCCTCACGATATTTTCCTTCACCGCTGAGCACATGATAATTCGGCACATAAAATTAACAATTTCAATCGTGCCGGCACCTGGATCGAACTCAGGCTGCTCGAGTATATTGAATTTAAGGCGAGCGCCCGGACACTGAGCTATCACGGATCTAGCAGACGATGTGCGAAAGTATAATCCAGAAGTAACAGTAGAACAAATTTCAAATCGATCGTATCTGTGAAAGTTAGTAAGACCCTCAATGTCAAGTAGGAAATGAGCTGACGATTATTCAAACGCCTAAACAGACCTTCGTAAATTATACCTAAGAACCATCTCGATCACGTCTCCTTTCGAACAAAAAAACTGCACCACAATCGGTCTATTCGTTTAGAAGCTACGATGCCACACACAGATACACAAACGTCAAACTTATAACACCCCTCAACAATTTTTACGTCCGGGATTAAGAACCAAGAGAATCAACCGCTCCGTCGCGTACCCATTCCAGTGTACCAGCAGAAGGTGCTCGTCCACACCACGTTGATCCGCGACGGCGCCGGCCTCGGCTTCAGCATCGCGGGCGGCAAGGGCTCCCCGCCCTACAGGGAGGACAGCGACGCCATCTACATATCGCGCATATCGCCCCAGGGCGCCGCCGCCAAGGACGGCAAGATGCAGGTCGGCGACAAAGTCATCTCGGTGAGTGTTGCACGCTTGCGACTGCCCGCAACTTGTGTTACTGAGTAACGATCATTATGATTGGTGTACGTTAATACTTCAGCAGAATATAACCGTAAATAGTATATTTTATTTACAAATGGGAAACCAATGGATGTTACATACCGATTTTATTATACAGCCGTTGTATTTGCTCTTATGTTAACATTTTACTATAAGATAAATCGTTGTTGGCTTTTTAAATTTCCCACTGCAATTACATTATCAACAAGGCTATTAACATACAGTTTATTTTTAATAGTCTATTAATTGCAAATATATTTAACAAAATGATATTGTGATGGTACAATTGTTTCTGAAGTTACTTATACCATCGTGTTAGCTCGGGGAAGCACTATTTTAATGTGTTATTTTTAATATAAAATCGATTTCAATAAATTTTTTTTTAAATAAAATAACATTCTCAGATCAACGGCGTAGAAATGGAGAACGCGCGGCACGAAGCGGCCGTTGCTCTACTTACGGGACATGAGCGCTTCGTGCGACTAGTTCTGCAGCGAACCATTACTTCCGACCAGGGTAAGTGAAATAGTATTGCATAAATATATTACTGTGGTACCTTAAAGACCTCTTTATATTAATTTGTAATATTATTACACTTGTAACATTTTAGTACAGTCCAAGTTGTTACCAAAAACGTGTTTTATTTTTTATTTTCTTAATTTTTTAACCTAGCAATCACATAAGCTATTACATAATATATTTTAACATTGAATCTCGTTTGCACTCAGCTGAAACTCTCTCGAGGAAGTCGATATCGGAAGAGGTCAGGGAGCACAGGACGAGCTTGACGAACGTAAGCGCTGCGTCGGCGCCCAAACCCAGCAACCACGTGGCCGCACCGCTTCCCGGGAACCACACGCTGCCGAAAGCCGCCGGTGCGGCCGCCGCAAAGACCACGCCGATCTCGAGCGGACCAGCGCACTCGGCCCCTCACGTGACACGGAACGTGTCTCCGCACGTGACGCAACACGTGTCCCCGCACGTGACGCAACACATATCCCCGCAAGTGACGCAACACGTGACTCCGCACGTTACGCAACACGTGACAACGCAAGCGCCCACCCCCGCGCCCGTCAACGCGCACGCGCAGCCCCAAGCGTTCGCAACTGCGAACGCGGTACCACCGCAACCGGCGCCACGCAAGCTCAGCCAGACGCAGACCAATGGACAGGTGAGAGAATTAAGGCTATTTTTTAAAAAGAATTCTTTAAAAACGGGCCTTGGAAAGTTTCTGGTGCCCAAGGAAATGTCTATTCAAAGTTACGATAAAATTGCGATTGATAACTGACCATTACCATAGGCACAAATAATTTATGCACCAATACAAATAAAACTTTAAATTTCTAATACATTAAAACTTCTGTAACTTTTGGCGCGTGCTGTTGTCGTCTGTGCGTCAATAAATACTGTGAATAATTTAGATTTCGTAATGTTGCTGTAAACTTTGCCTACCTAATTCTCACGATAATTTTTTTTAATATAATTAGTGGTGATTTGATATTTTATAAAACGTAAGTTGAATTTTTCAGTTGAAGGTCAACAAGATAATCACTTCTAGGTTTGAAAATTGCTAAACCCAGGCTTGTCCCGCGCTTTTTAGTATTCGAGCGATTTTTCAGACTTTTGTTGTTCACCGCAGGCGGGAACGAAACCGGCAACTAACAGTACGGGCACGCCTCTAACTCCCGGCGCCAATAAATTGCACGGCTCTAGCGACGACGTGTTCGACGACATCCAGGTAAGGACACGCCTCTATCCCACTCCGTTGTGTTCGGGTGATGGTTTCCCAAACGGTCTAACACGTTCACATCCACGCTACATCATCGCCGCTTCACGCCCACTGTGTACGTACCGCATACGCGTAGACTAATTCTTTATTCGCACCGCGTCCGTGCCGGCGTCCGTTGATACCGCAACCTCTGCGTCACGAAATATAGAGCTCATATTTCGCGATGATAAGGGCGCGGTATCTCTCGGCCGCCGTGCAACGGTCTCGGGTGCCGCTTCCATTCTCCTCGCGCTGAAACATGGCGGATATGTTGTTTTTTTTTTATTATTATTAATATTGGTATGTATATATAATTCTGTAGGAGCTTTATTAGAACAGGTTTTAATTGATTAGATTTTTTTTTTATTTTGTTAGTGTCTGCTGTCGTCGAGTGTGTTCTATGCAAAACCTAAAATCCAGATATCAAAGTTGTGTTTAGTAAGATTTATTTAAAGTATGCGGTATGCGTTTTTATTTATTTTAATATAATATTATTACAAAATAGTAACAAAGTTTTGACAGTCACTTTATTGTTTATATTCAAAAAAAATAGTAAATGAAAGGTATCTCTGAAAAGAGATGATAAATTTATTGCAAAATTAATATCAGATACATCAATGACAAATATAATAAATAAAAATGTGATATAGAAAATAGTCGATCTAAATAAGAAAGGCTCAATAAAAAGAAAAAAGGTTACCATAGTGGCAGTGTACATTTTTTAATCATATTTCATTCACTCATTCTCTTTGCGTCTGAACATCATCATTTTGTGAAATAACCTTTCGTATTTTCTAACAGTGAATAACTACGAAGTTTAACGTGTCCAAGCAATTAATTCAATCACAAAACCATAATCTTCTTGCATTGAAGAAGCTATAAACGTAGAATTATATAAAATATCAAAGTTTTATCAAATATGCCTTTCCCTTTTAAGACCTAACTGTATAGGGTGACAATGATGCACTATTTATAGTGCCTTATTTTTGATTTTATCCGAATTTCGGAAATTATAAAGAAATAAATTATATCAATTCACTTAAGAAAGAAATATTAGGTTACTTCCTTGTTTATTAGATCTGGTAGATTTATATTTTTGTATATTTTGAATATGTTAATGACAATTTTGTATATTGTGTTTTTAGTATTTGTTGTTATAGCGGCAACAGAAATACATCATCATTTCAACTGGTTAACTTTCACGGTTAATGAGATACAGCCTGGTGATAGACGGATAGACAGGCGGACAGCGGAGTCTTAGTAACAGGATCCTGTTTTACCATTGGGGTACGGAACCCTAAAAATGACCAAAGCTTCGGCTAAGCACGCTTGTTTCGGCAACAGATTTGATTTCGGAAACAATGAGCCGAAACTAATTAGTGCTAAAATTAATTTGTTTCAGTTGAATCATAGTTACGTACTTTCAATGCAAATTCATTCGCCCTAGAAAAATTAATAATATTTTTAAAATATAATAAATTAAGGATTTTTTTTAATGTAAACAAAATTTGAATTCGAATAATTCTTTAATCATTTCTCCTTTTTACGTATAAAATTCATGATACATAATATAACAAACTTTTATGGCAATTTTTTCGTGCTGGATTTTATTAAACTATAAAAAAAAAACACCGCTGATATATATATTTGAATAAAACATCTGAAAGATCTTGGTACATTGCTTAATTACTCAGTGACCTCAACAATGTCTCCCAACGGATTTGGACCTTAATGTGAACATATACAAGACGGAAATGAGGTCTAATGTGCATGTCACGTCACGTCTATAGCGGTGTTTGTTTGGTACGCTATATGCTCGGAGTTTTGACGATTATGTTTTCCTAGATCAGTTAGTTTGGGAAACTTCGCATTACCTTCTACGTTCAATGTCCCTCAATATTTGAAGACTAAATTCTTCAACCAATGTGTGTTACCAGAATGGAACCGAGACGTGGTGCTTTACTGCTCGTCGTATGAGGAAACTAGTCTCTGCGAGCTTTGGACCATACCTATCACTACAAAGTTGTCCCGCTGTTTGTCTGTCCCTATGTGTCCTTAGATCTTTAAAACCACGCAAAGGATATTGATGCGCTTTTATTTTACTAGATATAGTGATTCAAGAGGAAGTTTTATATGTATAATACATTACACCCGTGCGAAGCCGAGGCGGGTCGCTAGTTACATATAGTATAAAGAAAGAAACGAGTTATACTTCCTTAAAATGTGTAGAAATTATTACTTCTGTGTAATATTAGTACAGTATGTATCGTATAACTTCATAATTAGTGTATTCATATACAATAAGTATAATTCAGTAATAGTAAAATTAAAATTTTATCATAGACACGTATTTAGAAATATTAGATACTTTATCTGTAGAATGTATTTATAAAAAATTATCAGAATTTATAAATTAACATTGTTATGAAAATTCGTAGATGGAAGATGTTTGTAGGTTTTTATAGCGGTTCAAAAACTCTCTCGTTTTGTTTACAATCCTCAATATTAAGCATTGTTTGCGTTATTACTCTTTTTTATGGAGAAAAAGGGAAAACGAGCAGGAGGCTCACTTGATAAGATATAAAGTGATTACCACCGCCCATGAACACCTGCTACACCCGAGGGCTCACAAATGCGTACCTGGCCTTTTAGGAAAGAGTATGCTCTCTTCTTGAAGGTTCCCAGGTCGTAACGGTACGGAAACCCGCCGGTGGCAGCCGGTTCCACAGAGTGGTTGTGGGAGCCAGGTAATGCCTTGAAAATCGCGTTGTTGTGGAAGACTGATCGTCGATATCCCTAGCCGCCCTACGTTGAATGCGGTCAAATGGATGAAGCTGGTAATAGGGGGCTCCCGTCCACAGATAAGGACAGTACTATACACCATGTGGTGCACCACTACTCCATGTGGGGTAGTGGTCGAATTTGCGCCTTATAGAGGTTTGGGTTTTGAGCCGACGAATTACCGTCTTGCCTTGCTGAGCACACCAAGTTTCTTTTTAGGTCAATTTGGTCTTACCTTCCAATTGACCGCGGAACTGGACGTTGCTCGAGATTTCGACGCCAAGTATTCCGATATTAGCTGTGGCAGACAGGGGAGTGTTCTCGAAATGAGGAGTTACGACAAATGGGGACTTTTTAGCGCGTTAACGCGCAAACTTGTGTCTTTTTGGGATTGAATTGGACTTTAGACTAAAGTTTAGTCGACCCTAGTCTGAGACTTTGGTTAACAAAGTTGCGACTTCAGACAGAAGCGTTCCAGCTCTCGTAGAGGTTTTCCCGAGAAAGTTTAGCTCGGCCAGTGTACGAAACATCCACAATGCTATTGTGTGCATAGCAATGAACGTTGTTGATTTGAAACATGTCATTGATATGAATGAAACAGTGTAAGAGACAGAACGCAACCTTGTGGAACACCAGCATTGAAAATTTAGAATGCACCGTCGATGACGACCATGATGCTCCGATCTGCCAAAAAGCTAGTGATCCAGTTGCATAATTTCTCGGGAAGCCCATAGGAAGGCAGCTTCGAAAGAAGCTCACATAGAGGTAGACAAAGAGGTAGTAATAGAGATTGATTGCACTTTGCACTCTAAATGTGTAGAAATTGACATATTTATTATCCAACACCTCGGTAGTTCTTTCAGTATTTCTTTCTTGATTTTAAAATATGATTATGGTTTCAATGTAATTAATAGTTTATTCAATTATAATACAATTTGAGAAATCAAGATGTGTAGTGTTTTTTCCCATAGATTTTGTTGTCAATTCTTGACAGTATTAACACAAAACTTGCATTTGGTATCTGGATTTCGGATAGTTATCGGAATTTAAAAAAATTTCCTCCCAACTTCCCACTACAACATCGATAGTGATAATAATAAAAAAAACATAGTAGTCATTCATAATTTCCGACCTAAGACGGTCCGACTTGCATATGCGCCCTGTTGCGACGCCGTACGTACCCGTGACGGGCGCGCTAACCGCCCGCACTGATGCGATGTGAACGTGTTGACCGAGCAGCCGTCGCGGCCGATCACGAGCGAGGAGTTCCAAGCGATGATACCGGCGCACTTCCTTGGCGGGCCGCGGCCCGAGTCGCCGTCGGCGGCGGCGGCGGGGGCAGGGGGCCGCGGGGTGCGCGTCACCGTGCAGCGCCCGCCGCCGCCCACTCTGCCGCCGGCGCCCACCGCGCCCGGACGCTTCACCGAAACCATCACAAAGTCGACTTTCACGGAGACGACGGTCACGCGCATCACCGACAACCGCCTGCACGAGCCGCTCATCATCGAAGTAAGGATTGTGTTGTGGAATACGTTGGCGACGCCGCCGCTTGTGGGCAGTGGGGTCACGAGTTAACGCCTTATCCCCTCTCTTTACTCTACCGTTTTTACTTTTTTTTTTAATTTTCGGATTTAATAGTTAGGTACTTGCGATAAGACCCTACTGCCCATAAACTTATACCCATCGGTCTTATACTGATTGAAGTTTTACTGTAAGCACTCTACTGTAAGTATAATGGCTATTTTGCTCAAACACAGCATAATTCACGTATTTGATATTAAATATTATTATATTTATTGTATTTATTTAATATAGTTTAATAGCGCTTAGCCGAAATTATAAAGTTCTAGACTAGACTTGCAACGAGTAATCGCCTATCGTTCGGTATCTGGCCTACTCGGCTACTTTTATCCTATTCGACCGAATGCCGAATAACTACAGGATGATTTTATAGACGACGGACATATTAACAGAGCATATGCAGAATTTAATTCTAAATCTGAATCTGATACGTACTTGTGACCTCTTTTTTTTTTCAAAGATTGTTTTTAGTTTTTTCAAACATTATGGACACCTTATTAGAAATTACTGCCTTTACTTACCGTCTCAATACAAAAACCTACTCACGAGCACTAAAACTTCGCATAATTACCAAACCGCTTATCAATAGAGCGACCACTCTTAACGGGATAAACAAACAATGTTTGAATTGATTTTTTCTGGTTATATCTTGTCAAAATAAAATATTAATATATTTTTTAAATTATGGAATGCTCAATTAACATTATGTAAAAGTATGTACTTTGTCTCAAAATCACCCTGCATATAGCTAACTAAGTATTCGGCCGAAAATTTAAAATAAATGGATAAAATGGAAATATTTGATTAATTTTATATAAATTTATTTTTCTTGTAAAGTTTTTATAAATGTTTATGCACTTAAATTATCGTATTTAAAATACCTATGGTACTGAAAGACTAACATTTCTAAATATTTAGGCAGCTGTTTGCTTAAATGGCACTTTCCAATCTTTTTTAATCAATTTCAATTGAATTTGAGACTTTACGATAAATTATTATACTTTCATATTTACGATGTGAAAAAATTTAACTTGTCAAAACAGGCAGCGCAACGGTAGAGAGGAAGGTATGTACATTTGAAATAATGAGAAACAATTACGTTGATTTACCCAATACCAGTCCGCCGAATACTTTTCCTAATATTCGGTTATTCGGCCTGTGAGCCACCCAAATATTCAGTATTCGGCGTGTAAGTACCTATGGCTATTCATTGCAAGTCTGTTCTAGACTAAAGATGTTAAAATTTTAATCTGAGAAGTTCCTTGGCTTAATACCAAATTTAACATGTCTTATGTTTCAGATATACCGATAGTTGTGTTTAATGTTATCTATATTTCCCTGTGTCTATCTATCTTTCTATTAAGCTGAAATAAACGTAATTTCTCCGAAAGAGAGCTACTTTCTGATGAAGTTCGTTTATTAATAATATTTACCAATAATTTATGACATAGTAATATACATATACTTTATATATTGATAAAATTTTGGAAGCCAAATTTATTTTAAATTTATTTTTAAAACGAAAATTATCTACGAAAACGAAAATAATTCTCTTCATAAACAAGATTTCCTATACTGCTCGTTTTTTTATAATAAAAGCGACCCGATGTAACAACAGAAAGAATCATTTTATAAGGATTAAATATTTTTCTTACATAATGTTTTAATTGGCTTCTAAAATTAAAATGTAAATAAAGGCAATCCATTATGCTTTCTGCTTCTTTATTTTGCTATTTTGTCGACACGTTCAAATACAAAGTTTCATAGATTTTCAACGAAATATTTTTCCTTGTTCCAGGAGGTGACGTTACTGAAGGAAGGTGGTTCCCTTGGGTTTAGCATCATCGGTGGTACCGATCACTCCTGCGTACCGTTTGGTGGGAAAGAGCCGGGCATTTTCATTTCACACGTTAGTTGACCAAGCCAATCTGTATACTGATTTTTGAATCGTAGAGACCTAGAGAGAGAATTGTAAAGCCACCAATTGAAATCGACAAATCAGAACCATAGTTTTGGTTTTTACAATTAAACGAAAATTGATTGCTAAGGGGGTCTACTTTTCATTTTATGAATCACAATACGAGGAGCTTTCAAAGTATTCTCGGTATAGGTAGGCATGAAAGAATAAGTAGAAAATTCTGACTAAAATTTGTTTTTAAATGTAGTCCCCCATCACCTCAGTACACTTATTTGTGCGGAAACTAACCCATTCAATACTTTAAAAATATTTTTCCTTCCCCAATAAAACATGTTCATGAATTATCGCCTCCGACTCTTCATCGTCGGGAAACTACTTACCTCGATGATCTTTCTTAACGTTGGGGAACGGAAAGTAATTACTAGGGGCTAGGTCCAAGCTGTAGGGTGGAATTAATTTTCTCAAATCTGCAATTCCGCGAAGAAGGAACACCTGTGGTCAATTTTCCACGTCCTTTTTCTTTTATTGCTTCCTTTAAATTACGAAGGGGATAAAATGCGGCAGTAATACATTGACCTTTTTGTGTACTGGATCTGTAAGGCTCCCTTGGAATACCAAATCACTGTGGCCCTGAGTTTTCCGGCTGCTGGGGTGACTTTAAACTTCTTAGTTGAATCTGTTCCGTTTTTATGCCACTGCATGGACTCTTGCTGCTCTCAGGGTCATAGTGATGAACCTATCTTACATGATCGGTAACGATTCGGTCGAAAGTACAATAGGGATTTTGAGCCTTAAGTACACCTGTAGAGGAATGAAATCCGCGCACCGCAGGTAGTCCCGGGGGGCGTGGCGGCCCGCTCGGGAAAGCTGCGCATGGGCGACCGCCTGCTGAAAGTGAACGGCGTCGAGTTGGCCGGCGCCACGCACCGCGACGCCGTGCAGCTGCTTCTGCAGCCGGGGCCGACCCTGGCGCTCACCATAAGGCACGACCCCCTGCCGCCCGGATTCCAGGTGCGTGACCTTCCGTGACCTTCTGTGACCTTCCATGACCTTCTGTAACCGTCTTTGACCTTAAGTGTGCGCTCTATAATCTACTTTCGGACGCATTGTTAAGGTATAATAGCGCTGCGCAGAACTGTTTTATAATTCATTATTAATTTCAAAAGACTGGATTGATTTTTCTGGCGACGGTAGCGCAAATGCTATGGCGCCAATAACGCTACTACAAACTTATTGTCTAAACTAATTTTCGGATTAATTTGAATTAATATTATTTTTTAAGTGCCACGCAGTAGTATTTGCTGCTGAAAGAATGTGTATTCTTGTCCGGGGAAGTACCACGACCTCATGGAACACTGGCGTGAGTGAGGTAGCCCACTATTAAAACGGGGCAACGCATCTGCAACACTACGGGTGTGGCAGATGTCCATGTCCGTTGGTTATCACTTAGCATCAGGTGGACCGCCAGCTCGCTTGCCACCATCTCACATAAAAAAGTCCAAGAAGATCAAAGGACATTAACCTACACAACCCTTTTTGTAACGCGTAGCAAATTGTGTTCAGTACCTCTAACGAGATTTGGTTATTGTTAATTGGGACATAAACTTAAATAAAAAGAATTATTGATTTTATAATATTTTGTACTTTTTGTTAGTATTTTACGAATGCATACCAGAACATAATTTTCCAAATAATATAATTTATAATAAAGAATTCGAACCATTCTCCCTTTATTTCTTTTAACTACGAGAGTATTGATTTGCCGTGAAACAAATTTTTAGGTAGTGTTTTGTGTTTGTTTTGGAGTGAAAATATGTTGCGTTACGAAGTTGAGCTATTAACACATATTCCATTTGAAATTTGTGGCGACGGTTGCATGAGAGAAATTGTACACTACACATGAAACCATGACAGACTCAAATACAATTGCAATGCGTATGTAAATTGAGTATGTCGCTTGAGTAGCATTTGGCGGGGCAGAAATGAAATGTGCATTTTGCTTCATATAAAGGCATTTGCCTGAGTTTTAGAAGGAAATGATCTAACGCTTGCCGTCTTCGAATTGAGAGCTGTATTGACGATGCTTTCTTAACAATAACGTGAATGAACATTTGATTTTGTTTGCACGTCTAACAAAGTTAACTATTAGGTACTGTGTTTAATGTCATAAATAAGCGAAACGTTGTTTTGTTCCACACGTGCGCACGATGGCCTCTGCGACACGAATACAGGGCCCCATTCAAGTTGACATTATTGAAGCAACTGTAAGTGTGAAAGTCCCGGCGATCTCGAACCTCTGTGTGTTTAATTTACCAAATATATGTCAGTTTAAAAACCCCCGTTCTAGTCAGTGTGCTCAGCTAACGTCGTGTGCTGAATGGTTATGTCTCTAATGGCGTCAGTTTAAACAGGATGAAATCGAAAATGGGGTCGTTGACCTCGACTGTCCACCGCCTATGGGAACTATAGCCATTCCGTATCAGCTTTTGGAACGTTTCTGTCGTTATTATTTTCTTTTTCCAATATTTTTTGTATTCAGTTTACCTAGTCATGTGCTAGCATCGTTGCATAGATTACACGATAAAATGCCTTGGTTAGTTTATCGAGTGCATGGTGTGTATTGCTTTGCATGGTTCAGTTTTTGCAGAACTAGTCCCGATGCTTTCGTGAATTTTATGATGTTGTGTGATTGTTGTGCATTGAAATTACTTTTATGTTAAATGAAAGATATTTAGAATTTCTTTAATACGCCTATTTAAAATTTCGTGTTCTTCGACAGGAGTTAACGATAATAAAGCAAGAAGGCGAGAAGTTAGGCATGCATATCAAGGGAGGTCTTAACGGACAACGCGGCAACCCCAACGATCCGAACGATGAAGGAGTCTTCATATCGAAGATTAACAGCGGCGGCGCGGCGAGGAGGGATGGACGACTAAAGGTAAAATTTAAAATTTTGTTTAGTGCTTGAAATACTAAACGTACTATTATGTAACATACACTGGACTAACATTAAAGTACTGTATTTTTTTCATTTTGTCTGTTTATCCCTAAAAATTGTCTAGGTCTAGTGTCTCTACGCAGATTTTACTGTGGTAGGGCCACGCAACAGCTTCGGCTGTTGCACGAATGGGCAGGTCCGTCTGGGTAAGTACCACAACCTCACAGAAGACGTGAAGTGGAAGTGTTATGCTTCTGCGTTTCATCTGGTGAGTAAGATAGCCGGGGGCCATTTTATTATATAGTTGCAACGCATCAACAACCCTATGGGTGTTGCAAAAGTCCATGGGCGGCGGTTATCACTTAACATTTGGTAAAACTCCAGCTCGCTTGCCACCTTCTCACGTGAAAAAAGTATAGTCATGAGCTTATAGAATAAGGCTAAGTTATTCCCTATCTGTGTATAAGGTTGTGGTAGAAGTGGTTCAAGGCTATTTCTCCCACCGCCTTGTACATGCAGGATGATAATTTTTTTCTTTACCCAGGTGGGCATGCGGCTGCTCGAGGTGAACGGCGCCTCGCTACTGGGCGCTACCCACGGCGAGGCGGTGAACGCGCTGCGGGCCGCCACCCACGCGCCCCTGCACCTCGTCGTCTGCCACGGGTACAGTCGCCCCGAAAAGTACACCGTGAGTGTCCGATGCAACGATTCGTGTGGCCGGTCGTTATTCGGTTTCGAAATCCTTGAAATAACTTAGCGATTTCAGATCGTAGCAGAGATGATGGGAAATAGTCGCGAAATCGTTGTACTGTCGTCGGTTGTTTTGATGTTTGTTAGAGAATGAAAATTGTAACGTCTATCCTGTTTGACTTCCTAATCTGTGAACTGGATTTGAACGGTTTTTAATTAATTTTATTTTATTTATATTTTTCTGTACAAGAATCGTTAAAATGCAAGAACAGTCAAAAAAATTTAAGTACTTAAGAATGAAAGATAATGTTTTGATAGCTTGCATCAGTGCTGAAAACAAAGTTGACTTTTTTATGCTTTTGCTAAAAATCACCTTAATATAGACTGTAAACCAAACTAGTCTAGCAAACGATTTGTATTGTTTTGTAGTATGCTTACAGATACACAATTGTTCGCTATCATTTGTTTTGTGTAAGTTTGCTGTAGTTAGTTAACACCCAGCGATATACACAGACCGGTAGCGAGAGCGGGACGGCTGACACTGGCGGCTCTCTTTCTCACTCCACATCGAGCCTGGACAGAGATGAAACCTTGCACCAACACCAACAGGTTCATATCATATTGTTTACACTATACGCACCTTACTATTAAGATTGTAATGTGAAACTTTTCTTTCATATCATTTAATTTAGATACTAATGTGTCACACGTTATGTTTTTCAGATGTTGGTGGTATATAATTTTTTTTCGTGTATTTCAGGAGCAACAATATCAACAGGACCTAGTTGAGTTTGAACAAGAGAAACAAGTCGCAGTAACGAGGGAAAAATCTACCCCTGAAAAGGTGTGTTATACCCCAGATTGATTTGAACTGCTTTGTGCGAATTGTATTAAATTTTGCTTCGATATTACCGGAAGAAACAGACAGAAGAAACATAACAATCAACATAACAAAAGTTGATTCCTATATCTATGTCTATTAAAATAAATGGAACACGATTAGAGAGGGAATTTTATATTAGTACTAATAGATGACAGACAGACGTACAAAAACATTAGCAATATAAGCTACTGGGTAAATGGGGGCGTTAATTTTTTTTTCCTCGTACGGAAGGGCCGTAGTCTAAACAAGTTTGGGAACTAACGCCTTAGAAGATAATTTCGAATCGTTCGCCAGGTGATGGACATCGTGCACGCCGTGGAGTGCATCGGGCTAGAACCGGCGCCGCCCACCTCGCCCGAGCCCCACCACAAGACCACCACCGTCGTCATGTCCAAGCACACGCTCCAGCCTCAGGTACAGTCGCGCGCGAAGCCGCACCCACCCGCCACGCCCTTCTGAGGCGGAGTTGTACAGTCGCGTACACAGCGCACACCGCCCGACCACGCCTGCTCTCGGAACGGATCTTGATGCACGTTTGGCGTACATTTAAGTGGGAAAATCACTTGATACGCTACGTTGGCGAAGAGAGTACTTCCCTCTCGTTCACGCCGCGGTCTTAATCGCTATCTGTCTCGCTCCCACTACACTCTGTTGTATAATTGCGAAAAGATTTTTCGATTACGGTAGTCTCAATAAGCGATTACTAGATTTTTGAACCTGACGATACACGCACGTATGAAGCCAACTTCATAAGGCGTATTCAAGTTTTAAACAAGTTGTACGTAGTGGATGATAACTTAAAATTACTAAGTTACTACGTGTAAGGCGAAGTTGGATTGCAGGCGTGTCGTGGCAGCTATATCTTCAATAGCTCTCGAATCTTTGGAATAGGTTGATACTTATCTTGATAAAATTAAACTCCCTGCACGTGATTAGATATTCTAACCTTAATTAATTTTATGAAAATATAATATGCTAATACCTAAAAGATATACGCTATTATTACTGAACATGACTAAGTTAGACATGAAATGTAATATTTCTAATATATGCACATAAACTATGCTGTTTAAAATGTACTTTAAGTTCTATTTTATATAATGAACTCTAGTGGCATGATATTATAGTACAGCTTGTATATTCTATTCGAAGGCCGTTACAAAATTTTCTGTGTACCCTTGCACGGTCTAAAATCCGGACATGACAATAGCATGCACCCTTTAGTATATCGCTTGCATGAAAATGTTTTAATTATCTATATGAAGTAATTTAAGTATGCTATATCGTTGATATCTTCCAAAATAAATGTTGTTTAGTGTATTTACCCGACTAAATTATCTTATTATGTAGAAGATTTAGGATTATCTTATCATGGAAGGGGAAATGATGATAATATACGAAATGTTTTTTGTTTTAATCTGTACTGTCTCTAAATTTTTCTAGAACTCGATGTTATCTGTGTTTGTACCCGATAGGTGGAAATGGTTTGCATGTGCCCTCGATTTTCTTTATACTCTCTCTCTCTATTTGTGTAATACACGATATTTCATATTGAACACGCAATGGAACTGTTGGCGCCGTTAATGTACCCTGCAAAACTGCTATGGTAATCGGTGGTAGAATTTGGAATCGATGGTAGCATAGTTTAACTGTTGTTTCGTGTTATAGCAGAAAAAATAAACACGTATCTAATAGTCAAAAACTATTGCGTCACAGCTGTACTGACATCCCGTATTACGTCCATTGCAGAATGCAAACCCCGAGGAAAAGGAGGGATACACATAATACACCAATTAAACACGTCTGTCCAAATAGATGTAAATAGATACTACGCGACGAATGGTGTTAAATATTTGACATATTGACTTTTATAATGATGAACTTTAAAAATGTTTATTTTCTCCGCTTCTCTAAACTTCGTTGTCCGTTGACACTTTCCTTAAAAATGACTGAAATTCATCCATAAAATATAGAATTATTATTTGTATTACAGAAGTGCTAATAACTTGCTATTTGCCGATTAACTTTGTATGTATCTTTTTATTTTATATGCTCGTTTAATATGTCAGATACTTTAAACATTTGTGTAGACTATTGAAAATTCATTAGAATTAAAATATTGTGTACATATTAGTTAAATGTATCATTTAGTGGATATTCGTATGGTGGTGGTTGTACCGATGTAAAATTATTGTATTTATGTACTTAATTATGGAAATCAAAATTGCTTAGGTAAATTAATTTACTGATACAAAAGCTTTGTTCTAATATAATCCAGTTTGGTCGTATGTATGTTCGAAGATTTTAACATTTGCTGTTAAGAAAATTGTTCACATAGAGTTGATATGTGTCTCATGTTTTATCCGCTCGAATAACAACATGTTATAATACATCAAGTTGATTGTCCTAACTTGTACAATGATATCAAGACGAGACCAATGAATTTGTAAACTTACAACCACTAAAAAATTGTATCCATAATATTTACCAGAAAATATTTACAATCTAGGATTAACTAAAGGGAGATATCCTTTTTTTTATCTGTCCTCAAATCTTTTAGTTTATCGGAATTTATTGATAAATAATTTACGTATCGTAAGTTTTCTTTCACATGCTACCTGATTTTCTCCTTAATTCATTAATTCAGTATTGGTTTAATATACCTATATGTTCATAAAATACCCATCATCATCAATACCAAAACACCGAGCAAATTGTGATTGTTGCTAATGTATGTAAACAATGCAATGTTCTAAGTCTTTAGCCTTGCGATTGGAAGAACTCTTCTAACCTGTATATTCCTAAATGACCAAAAAGTTTTAATACTCAACATTCGTACTTAATATATACCTCATATAGTCTTATACCAATGTAATGAAACATTTTTGAAACTGTTTTATACCTACTTATATTACTATCTATGTAGTTGTTTTATAATCTGTATTTTAAATAAATCAAAACTATACACAATTTCATTTGCAATGTATCTTAAGAATTACTGTCCGTTTAACAAATATCACTTAAATAAGCCATTCTTAATACATGTATAATTTAATTTTAATTTAGTTTTAAATTTTAAAAAATCAACATTTTATAGCAATTTCCAGACTTTTAATGTTATTGAATAAATAATTGCCTTCGAATTGTTCAATGTAATTGTGTCGTCAAATGTCTTAACAAAGGTGAAATTTCATATTTCACTTGCGATATAAAATCGTTTATTTCAGCCATATATTGTTAAATAAATAAGTTTACTCAATTGATGTATGTGCTTCTTGGATGTTGAGCTACTTTCTTGAAATTTTATGTAACGTTTGAATAACACTGTTTGCGGCCAAATGTGTAACTGCCATTCATTATATTGTGTAAATTTTATCAATATGTACTAATAACTTTTGTTATTAAAAGTATCCTGAAGTTATATTTTAGTGTTGCATTTAAATACACAATGATTTAAAAGACTATTGCTTTTTACTTATTTATAACTCATGTTACCCTTTGGCGCATTTTTTTGGCAATTTTTAATGACATTTATTTTGGAAGATTTATTTTCTTCGATTTGTTCGTCTCTTGTGTTATTCTTATCAGCGTTTCTTTACTTTAAAATTACAAATGATTTTTCGTGCAAGTCGCTTTTGCCACGTGTAGAATTGTACAAATTATATTGTTACACATACAATTTTTACCGACACTTCAATGGAGTGTTCCGCTGTATTACATTGTTCTTGAGTTCAGCGTCGGCTAGACGGATTAGGCGAGTGTGCTGACGATGAGGTGAAGGTGAAGCATTCATGTTGGTTTGGTTAGACGTCTGGTCCGCAAGCGGCGGGCCCGTCGCCGCTCGCCGTGTTCACACAGCAGAAAGTGAGGGCGGCCACGCCCCTCGGGCTGGCCACGCCCCCGGCAGTGGCGCCGCCCACACAGCGGCTGAGGTCCGACGACGGCACCCCCGTCGACGCGCCGCACCCCGCACACCCCTCCCCCCGCCCGGCGCACCCGCCGCCCCCTCCGCCCGCCAAACAGAGGCCCCAAGTGCCGCGCAAGCCGAACCCGAAGCGAGTTAGTTTCACCAGCGACCACCACACCGACGAGCGCGGATGGCGCTCGCCGTCTACACACGAAACAGAGACCGCTCGTACCCCACCGCATGTGGGAATGCATGACGACATCGCAGAAAACGCCCCCGCTACGACTAACGATGCATGCACGGACGGCCCGATACTAATCCATAGCCGACTGCCGAGAGCGGAGGCGGCGGTCGCGCGACCGGCTCCGGCCCCGGTGCTCCCCGAGGACTTTATCATCCCCCCTCCGCCTCTGTTCGAGACTAAAGTAAGTCAAAGCCAGCTGATAGGGCGGGACGAGTGCGAGCTCAGTACGCCGCTCATCTCCCTGATACCCGAACGCATAGTGCTACCCGAGCCGGTCATAGCCGAAACAACCATGCAGTCGTCGAACTCGACCAACTCCCCCGAATCCGAGTTCCCGCCCCCCGTCAACTACGGCGCACACCCGACGCTCACGCCCCCCGAGGAGCCACGCTCCGTGATCATATCCGAGGTGCCCTCCTATCAAGTCTTCCGACACGCCGATCTTCCCTCGTCCGACACCGACGTGTTCTATAACGAGCTGTCCGCCAGTCCCGACGGGGAGCCCGAGCCGCCCGAACTTTTGCAAGTGCAGCTCAAGACGCTGCCGACAGTCTCGCATATACCCAATTCCCCGTGCATTTTGCACCCGAACCTCGGCTACGAGGACGTTCAGAATCACAATCAAACGCACGCCTCACTCAGGGACCTCAGAATAAAAAGCATCCCCCCCAACATGGTGCACTCCACGACCTACCCGCCAAACAATCCGTTCCCATCCCTAACGACGGTGGCCGGCACGTACAACCCGTATACGCAGCCCGTGCCGGTCCGCATCAACCAAACCGACCACCCGGCTTACAATCCCAAACCGTACCGCCCCGTCGCCTCGCCCATAGAGAGAGATATAAACGCGAACCTCACCCAAACCGCACCCCTATATGGGGACACGGACGATACACCTAAAGGTGTCCAATCAGAGAGAAGAGTCCGCTTTGGCGAAGTGACGACTGCGCCAGAGTCCGATAGACCGTCGCAAAGTACGGAGCCGGTGGGAGAAGGGAGCCCCTCGCCCACGACCCTGAAACCCGCATGGAGCAGCAAAATCAAATCCTTCGCCATCGGCGAGGTAAACGACAAAGTAACGGCATCTTACCCACACACATTCGCTTCTTTTGATTGTGTTCGTCGTCAAACGATACGTTCAGAGTTCTTGACTAAAACACGTACGTGTCGAACCTCATCCCTCATGTCCCACTGTCATACATGGTCAATGTATTTTTAACTTGCGAATTATTATATTTTGCATGTATCGTTTTATTTACTCAACACATATATTTGCATTTATTTTGATTTCTGCATAATCGAATTATACTGACTGCATGGGTGTTTATTAATATGGAAGGGGGACCTTTATTCATTGCTTGTAAATATAATGCGCTTCTTATTTCATTAAATGTCAATGTCATTAGCACATCAGTTGGCTTCTGGCCGTGGGGTACTTTATTTACGTTTTAAAAATGCTTACAGGCTTCCCCACCTCATTCTGGTAATTTTGTGAAAGCTTCGGTCAGTGATAAGAAAAAGTTCTTCGAGAACGCTATGGAAGAAAGCCACAAATCGTCACCTAGACCAGGTAAATTTTATGTAGAGTAATTGACCAGCATATTTATTTTGATACTATTTTAAAACTTCATAAACGTAGAAGATTATTTTAACGGTTTTCTTTGCATATTCATTAAATAAGTTAAAGTATTGAATAAATTGACACTTTGGGCAGTTAAATATTGTAAGTGGTACTTCCTCGGAAGAGACTGCCCATAATACAAAAAATCAAATATACAATTTGATTGTTATAGTATTGCATTTATTGCAAAAGTTATACATTAATTAAATTAAATCGGTAGAGTGCAATATGTCTGTTTGTGCACGCATTCAAATTATACTTTCAGAAAAAGTTTTCACGTTCCTGTCAGCGGATGAGGTGGAGAAATTGAAGCAAGAAGAGGAGAGAAAGATGGCGTCTCTATCGCGCGCAGAGCTCGGCTCGTGGTCACAAGGGGAGGACCGGCAGAGTGGAGACAGCTCGCATTCCGACGACGAGCCTTACGAGAACGGCCATAGGTAAGATATGTACATCTATAGGCAGACTTTTCTTCGCCGCAGCCAGGATACATACTTGCGCCTTGCGAGTAAAGCGCCTAGAAACATTAGTTATTGAGCTAAGCTGTCGATTTCCTCAATGTGCAAAAATCTCGACGTCTTATCTATGTATTTTTTTATTACTATTTATTTACATTCATTTATTGCTTCGCATTTTAAGTTTCATATTAAATACAGAGACGAATTCTAGTAAACATTTGTTTTAACAAAAAACGAAAGTGACTTCAAATATCTCACCAATTATACGTTTTGTAATGACTTCCCTGTTATATTTCCGGAGCCTAAAGTCCAATACTACTGCAATTAATATGGGACCATACCGAGTTGAGAGACTCAGGTGGAGTTTTTGAACACATTTTTGAAGTCGGTCGAAAACAAAAACGTTATGTGCTACGATAATTAAAAAAATCAACGACACGAATTAATAGATTGCGTTCCGCAGCGTGTCCGCGGGCGGTGTCAGTCCGTCGGCGAAGTCGCAGCGGCGTCGCGCCGAACGGGAGGGGAGCGCGGGCGAGGACGCGGAGGCGAGAGCGGCGAGGCGGGCGGCGTGGCGCGCGGCGCGTCTGCGCTCGCTCGAACAGGTGATCCTTCCTTGTACCTAGTGAGCCAGTAGGCCAGTAGTCGCTGAGGCACTTGCCAGGAGCCGCTGAGTCAGAAGGCCTGAGGGCGCTGAGTCAGTAGGCCTGTGGGCGCTGAGTCAGTGAGCCTATAGAAGCTGAGCCAATAGGCCAGTAGCCGCAGAGCCAGACAATGCGGTAATAATCTTGTTTTTCTGTTAATATTTTATGGCAATGCTGTTGATGTTGCTTGAAGGCAGAATGATAATGTTAACGCGAAAAGTCACGACGCAATAATTTCCACGGTCTGGCTTAGACTCTACGAGTAGAATATCGCATAAAGATACGAGTAATTTGTTAGGGGGATTCACAATGTTAATTAAGCTTGCGTGCACACTTCGTGGGTAGCCGACTTATCCGAAAGGAATAGAGTTTTGTGTGCCGTGTCGTGTATTTTATAGCGACTGAGATTGCTAGTTAGGTTCAGTTGTATTTTGATCATTTACGTGAGTACAGAGAGGCTTTTCTAAATGTAACCTTTTTTTTAAATTAAATCATAGCCATATACATATTTATAAATAATGTTATATAAAAATGATAGATATTTTAAATCACTCGCGAGTAATTAATTACATTCATTTGAACTTATCTCAAAAAGTACGTGATTTCATAACTAAAATTTTACTGTCCCCGTGGGGCAGTAAAATTTTGCTATTTATGATTGACTACCGCTTTGTCAACAAATTCTCTTTTTAGGGAATAGAATGGTAATTTAAAAAAAAGTTTGTTTTAAAAAACGGTTTTAAAAAACGATTATACTACCCAGTCTAAATCTCCCGTGTAAATTTGGGCATCTTTAAAAAAGTCTCTCTCTGTATAAAGAAAGAGGAAGAACACCTAATATTAAAAACTTTAACTGCCAGGGTTATCCCTGGTGTAACTCACTAGGTGGAAGACAAAAGTAAAATCACTTTACGCTCGTCTTTAGTGTCATAACAATGATACTCATGAATAAATCTGCTCTGATGGTAGGACCGTTACAAGCAACAGCAGAAACCACTATGTACTACTATAGTTTTAAAAAGTTATAAAAAAACAGATCCCTTAGATCGTTAAGTGTATGCCAATATTCTAATCTTAATAATTTCTTTTTGGTCCCAGGAAGCCCTAGAATCACAAAAAGTTATAAAAAGCATGGTTGGTCCCGCAAGTGAAATCATAGGAGAAGTGCCTTCTAGGGACAAATCGCCGTCAGAGGTATGTTACGACATCAAAAATATATCGCCGAAATTGTTATGAAAACTAATAATGGAATGTTTGGAAAAAAGCGATCCAATTATTTTTATTATTTCTTTAGAAAATGCAATATTTTGCATAATAAAAATTGCATACTATATCCGATAAGTAACGATCGGACATCATTGAGTCGTTTTTTTCATCTACATGAATGAATCATAATCCAGCATATACCTTTCTTGTTTGTCCGTAACCGTTAACATCGAATGGTTACTAACCCATTGTACACATAGCTGGGGGGGTTTTAAAAGTCAACTTTGACATTTCACACTTTAGAACTAGTTTGGCCATTCACACATTATACAATTTTTAACCGTTCGATTGCAACGTAACAAATTTGGAATTGCTCATTTTAGAATGACATTTCCTCATGGGAGAGACGTATGAGGTAACAACGATCCGTCGGGATTTCCGTGTGTTTGTGTCTGTTACGATACCGTTTGCATGTGACGCAACGTGTCACCCTTGTCCGTGTGGGCTCAGACTGGCTTGGCAACTAAGCACCGCTGGGTACTGTGATCGTGCGAACAAAATTGGCTTTACACGTTGTAGAAATGGCCCCTGCCGCGTATCGCGTTGCGTACAAAACCGGGCCCGATACTCGCCGTCAGGGAGAAGGAAAAGTTGTTAGACGAGAGAATAACGCTACGCACGGAGGAATACGTGTGCCCGGCCACTGGCGAGACAAAAGTGCGCACCGTCGAGTACATTGAGAAAGTGATTGAGAAAGAGGTACGCGTAGAGCGACGCGATTGTACATTACGCCTTAGCATAATTATAGATATAGGACGCGCTGTACACAAGCAATTCAGCTCACGTGTGTGGTTTTTGTTGTTTCGCATAGTTTGTCTGTGTGCATTTTAAGGACGAAACGCTTCAGCTTTATACGTGCATCACGGTGACATGAACGTGACGATTGACTGACGGCTGATCTTTGACTGGTGGACGTGTTGTATAATAAGTTAACTGTTTCGAGAAAAGTAACGAGATTTATAATAAATAAAAGGCTTTATTACATATACTTGAGCAGTTAACATTGTATCCTAAATTAAATATTTAATATGTGTTAATATTTAAAATCTTTAGTTTTTCATCCATAACATAATTTAAAATAGTGTTTTACCATGTATTAAATGAGATATTCACGTCTTATATTAATTATTAACGTAATATTATGTGACTATTAATGAATGCAATGTACCTACCTATATTTCATGGCATACTTTAATAGGTATTTAAAATCTTTTCATAATCAAAATTTTATAATTTTATTTATGTATTCAAGTAATAACACATACGCGAAAATTAATGATTTATAGTAATAATATCGTATCAAATTAAAAACAACTGAAGCACTATATAATTTAAAAGCTTCACTTGCTTATGTATTAGGAAAACAATATATTGACTTTAAATAAGAGCGTGACGGCGAACATTTTTTTGTATTCATTCTCTTGATCTATTTTAATTACAGTATCAAGATATTTAAGTGAATAAAAGTAAAATTAATGGAAGTTTTCAAAGGGTTAGTGTTATCATTTACTTGACTGAACTGACATAATTCTGATTCCAACACATGAAGGGGCCTCACGCACATATAACGAATATTAATCACATAGCTCGTTCGAACAACACATATTTCGCGTGGAAGTTCTCTCGCTGAGTAGTTAGCTGTTAAAAACGTAGATTGAATTTTTAGATTTACAACTAATTCCTCTGTGTGGTGGTTAATTAATTTTGTGAATATATTTGGAACTAACGGCTGTTTTAAAAAACTTGTACAATATATTTTTACCTTAATAGACATGAACTTACAAGTCCGTTACTCATTTTCTTGTTTAATCCATAAGGGCGTCTTTTTGACCTTTATTTTTATTTTTATTTATATATGAGTGTTGCATGATATTTCGGCATGGCATGCTAACATATTTGTGTATCATTTGTCAGACTATACCTGGATTCTAGACACGGAAACTTCACCGAAAGAAATGGTTTGTTGCATTTCGTTTATATATTAATATATCGCTTAGAACCTTATTTCACGACGTGTAGTTTTCAGTTTCTGATTTTGCATGTAACAGTTTATTTTATGTAGTTGAACTTCGAACCTATTTGTAAATTTTTATCATTGGGTTGCTCAATTGTGAAGTACATCGATTTTGTACGTTTGTATTCTCTAAATGTGTCCCATTTTCGCTCAATTAATAACGCAATATCTTATCCTATAACTTTTAGTATCGTAATACCCATGTAACATAATAAATCAATTAGAACGCTTGTAACCATAACATTACAACATCACGGCAACTAGATATACTACCGTCTCCGAAAAAACGATGTATTTATATTTAGGTGGAGACGACGCAGGAGAAAATTATATCACTCGAACTGACGACCAGTCCGAGCAGTGAGAACGCGCCAACCGACCTTGAGGGCAACGGGGTCAGCCTCGGCGAGGGGGAAATTGGCGAGGACTCCCTCCAGCCGGACATTGTCCAGGTCGTGAACCCACTGTTGGACGGCGGCGTTGGGACGGTCACGGCCATCCCAGTGGGGCCGGCTCATCGACTCACAGCCTACACAGAGACACCGCAATAATCCCCTCCGGCCCGCGAAGCAGTCTCCGGGAATTCGCGAACTTTGCCAACGAAAATCGCACACCGATGAGGCACCTCAGATTGCGTACTTACTCTTCACGGCCGACTCACCACCAACGTCCTTTTTTGCCACCTTCGAATGTAACCAATACGGCGATTATGATTATGACTATAGATCGTTTATTTAAAACCTTCGATAACTTAATCCTATTTCACAAGAAACTTTCCGTCCGATGTTTTCATTACAGACTGTCTATCCCGCTCATGACACAATTGATGACATTTGTTAATATTTTCACTGTTACGCGTTTACTGCTGTTGTATGACAAGAGAATCGTTCATAATCGCCACATACGAATTGAACCCATGACAACGTATCGGCTAAATCAGTATTGAAATCAGACTCGATTGTGGATCACTTCAAGTTAAAACGAACGACATCGAAAACGGGCATACATCATTGATTCGTATTATAACTGTGATAATATTGTTTAGAATTCCACCGAACTTCGCGTTTTCGACAATCCGAAACGGCATCATATTGAAGAAATCCACCAACGAGTCGTACACTGAACCTAATTTCAGTGGCATTTCGTTTTGATCACAATTTTATTTTTTTTTATTGCAATTTTGCGACGGAGATTTTTTTTTAGGTTAAACAGTATCTGTCTATTTTGATACGCGATATTGTTCTTCGAGTACTTTACGTATTTTAATATAAATAATTATTTCATTCCGTGCAAATTTTAACGTTAGGACTGAATGATTGTTGTACCTGCCGAGTGGTAATTTTATTGAAGAATGTCATAGGATCCTATTGTTTGATGGTACCTTGTAGATTTGTTAAATGTACATACATCCCATAGACTTACAGTTTGTCTGCAATGTACTGTACAAAGGTACAAAAGTCGCATCACACCGCGTCTGTTTTATGTATTTCATCCAATTAAAACTCGTTTTTATATATAAAAAATAGATATATTAATTTACGTTTTAGAATATAAACCATAGTAATTATAGCGTCGTCATTATTATTATTATTGTGCAGTATTTGTTTTTTTTTTTCGTTTATTGGTGTACTAGTATTTTTTAATTTACAGAATGTTTGTGGTGCCTTAATTCCTTGTTTATTTACAATATTTTAGTTATACCAACTATTTCATTATTTTGCATAATTTTTCTAGACATTAAATTATATTATGGATTTTGAAACAAATAGTGACGCAAATTAAATCCCGTCAACAATGATTTGAGGGACAGATTTTTAACTTTGAATTTGTAGTTCAATTATTTGAATAATATTTAATACATGAACTTTCGTAATTTTATCGTTTGAGTGAAAGAATGGTTTTATGTGTCTTTTATCTTTTTAAGGTTCTAAATATGTGGATTGTAAACTAATGAAAATATTGTATGTTTGCTCTAAATCAAATGGTTTAATATATATTTTAATAAAATTATTTTAGGGTTTTATTTAAATCATTATTCTTAAAGTTTTACCGCTTAATGATTCTTTGATTTTTATGTAAAACTGGTTTGTACATTCTTGACATTTCGAAACACTTATTTGAACAACAAAATTCCGGAAGTTGTATCAAGTTGCTTTTACATATGATTTTTTATCGTTTAAAAAAAATAAAACTTGTTACATTATAAACCTTTATTGAAATTTAAATATTTTTATTGAGGGAAGAAAACAAACTCCATTAACTTATCTTACAACAAATATGACTTCTTTTTCTATATTTTTACTTCTTCGGAGCAATGATACCCTCTAACTGAGCCTGCAAATGTAGAAGGTACTATTAAATTTTTCTTGAGTAATGCGGCCATATCTAATATTTTTGTTAAATAAACAATGCACTAGCCGCAAGGTATCGCACTTACTTTTGAAAGACCTTTATTACGTATATACAGACAAAGAAAAGTAGTTCATAAACGGCTTATAAGTAGGTCTTGCTATTTGAACTTGTCGAATCCCAAGTGTTCACAAAGGGGTGCAATAGTTTTTTTATGTGAAAAGTTGGCAAACGAGCAGACTTATTTGGCGTTTGCCATTCGTAAATAAGTGCGACAGAGATAACGCTATACGAAGCCGAAATTGTCGCTTCCCAAAGGTCTATCTGCAGTATTTAATTATTTATCGTAAAAATGTGTTAACCGCCAAAATGCCAATGTACGCCGTATTGTGGATATGTATAAACAGTACATAATTATGTATTGTTACGCATCGAATATCATGTATTGTATATACAGGGAGGCTTTTTTAAGTGTATTCATTATTTTAATTAAATTCTAGACACAAATAATGTTATATAAAAAATGATAAATATTTAAAATCACTCGTAATTAATTAATTACTTTCATTTTAACTTATCTCAAAAAGTGCAAGGCAACTCATTTATTTTACGCGAGATCATTCATAACTAACACGCATACAAGTTCGTTTCAAAAGTATACGATGCATTTATGAATGTTTACCGCATTGTCAACAAGTTCTGTTTTTTAGGGAAAAGAATGGCAATTTTTTTGAAAAAATAAAAAGTATCTTTTATTTCAATAAACGATTATACTACCGAGTCTGAACCTCCTGTGTGAATTTGGGCACCTTTAGAAAAGCCACCCTGTATACATTTTTAGAGCAGTTTAAAAAAAAAAGAATTTTTAAAGCTAAATTATATAATGCCGGACGGATATTAACCTTTAGTTGTGCGTTCGTCTTCTTCAATGCAAGCAACTCCTCTTGATGGCGTTTCTCTTCGGCAGCTCGAAGCTCAGCCGCTCGGCGCTCCAACTGCTCAGTCTTCTGCTTCAACTCCGTACATAGCTTCTCCAGGCTCGCGCGTTCTGCTTCTAGCTTTGCAACTTGCTCCATAAGATCCGATTTGCCTTGTTCAGACTGTAGGAATTATAAGCGTACGCACAATACATGTGTGTCCTAACAATTGGCTGCCCTGATTAAATTTGTGTGTAGTGCAAATAACGAACGAATTTTATCGCATCAGAAAACGTGTTGCACTGAGCATTGTATAAGAAAGAAGCAATTGCCCATGTAATCATAAATGTATATAATCCTCGTACCTGCAATGCCTTCCGCATACCAAATGCAATAGAGCTGCAATACAATGTTTGGTACGCTTCCATCGTGATCCTTGCTTCGTCACGGACTCTTAACAAAAGCAGGCCTCTTTCACCACAATTTATCGTTACCTAAATAAAATTTACTAAATTTAATTTAAGCAACTTTGTAAAAGCTATCGTTAATCAATTTCTTATTATTCATATTCTTATTATGTGTATCAATCAATTTAGATATATTATCTTCTCAACGTTATTACTTTATTTATTGTATTGATTTATGCCCGGTTCCTATATTCAACGAACGGCCGTTACATAGCTTCGTAACTTTCATAACGACTTGTAGATTAAAGGAACGCTTGTAACTCACTTTACGTGCGTAATGCTATGGCTCTTAAGGATAACGCTTCTTTTATCTACAAGTCGTTATGAAAGTTACGAAGCTATGTAACTAAATGCCGTTCGTTAAATATAGGAACCGGGCATTAATTATGTGCTCATTAGATTGAGTGTTCAAAACACGCAAGTTATATATATACCTGTCTTATTATTTCATCGAAACATTGGGTGTAAAGCTGTCTGCGTACAGGACAGATACCGGTCTCCCTGGCCTGACGTTGTTGTAAGCGGGTATCTAACATCTCCTGTAGATTTATTACATCTAACCTGGTAGCTGGAGTCGATGATATCTGTAAAAAAATGATTAAAAGTAATAATAAAGTCCCTTCATTCTTTATCTCTACATTTTACATTTCATTATTGTTAATTAGTATATTAATAGTAATTTAGTCTTTACATATCCGTATTGATGCGGTTGACTTCACTATATAGTATAAAACAAAGTCGTCCCGCTGTCTGTCTGTCCATATGTATGCTTAGATCTTTAAAACTACGCAACGGATCTTGATGCACGTTTTTTTTACTAAATAGAGTGATTCAAGAGGAAGGTTTATATGTATAATACATTGCACCCGTCCGAAGCCGGGGCGGGTCGCTAGTTCAGATTATATACATAAATATAAAATTATTAAACCGGAAATGAAAAAGAGGATTTTGTAAAGTATATAATATGTATAATTGTAAATGAATTCAACCAGTACAATAGAGGTAGTCCTATCCAATTTTACTGAGCGTATAAAATCCAAAACGAAACGGGCTTTGAAATTTAATACTACGTAAGCCTTTGGAACTCCGTAATTCATAAGAATTATTACCCCCACTGAATTTGTCAGTAAAAGTAGAGCTATATTTACAAGTAAAATCACAGTTTTAATATATATTTTTTTATTATAAATAATTAGTATAAGTATTTATAATATGTTTATAATATGTAAGTATTTATAATATGTTAACTGTGGTAGGGTCACGCAGCAGTTTTCGCTGTTTTACGAACGGGCAGGTCCGTCCGGATAAGTACTACAGCACAGAAAAACGGTGTGATTTTTTTTGTTATAATTGCCTGGATCAACAACTAGCCTGTACCTCGATTATGGGTGAGTAGGCTCGGGCCGTCACGCTACTATTATTTTCACCGGTTTGCGAGGCCGCCAAGCTCGCCAAGCTCACCAAGGTCGCTTTGGCGGCCGCTCCATGGAGTAATTAGGCTAAGGGCCTCCAAGATAACCTCGGCTTGTTATGTTACTCAGTACCCGTTTAACATTTCGATTCGAGGGTACTCAAGAGAGCCGGACCTTTGTTCGATCGGTAGCTGTAGTCTGACTGGAAGACTTTCTAAAGCTATCATCACTTCGCAAAGCGTTGGTGCTGGGAGAATAAGTGGCGGAAGAAACTCCAGCAACGTGTAGGTACGTGGCGGAACCTAATTATTTTTTGCCACACTCACCGGCGCATGCGGCGTGTTTTAGTGTGTTTATGTAATTTTTAAAGCTATCGATGGTGATAGTCGTCTCATCGTCAGTCGTCAAAGTCGATTGCGACACTTGACACACTTAGCGGAAGGGCTCTGTAGGTGACGGCACCGACGATTGACGGTTTGAGATGCACGGCGGCGGATTTGGAAGTAGCGGTGCGACGCCGAATTAAGGAATTGAGAGATTTTGGGCAGCTCTACATCTATATGTAAGTCGATATTGTACATGTTACGGTGCTCCCGTAGCTCTGCGCAAGAATCACCTCTGGATGCCCTGTATGAAGCCGGTATATTTGCCAAAGTGTTCACTTCAGCGTTTCGTCTAGTGAGTGAGGTCGCCGCGGCCCACTCTATTAAAATTGGGGACCGGGTGCCAACGCATCTGCAACCCTACGGGTGCTGCAAATGTCAATAGGCGACGGCTAATGTCAGGCATCAAGTGAACCGCCGCCAGTTCGATTGCCATCTTCTCACAAAAAATGTCTTGGGTAAATTATTTTTAATAATAAATAAAAAAACTCACATACTTTTTGTGTCCATATCTGACCATCTTCTTCCCACTCCTTAGGGGGTAAAATGGCATTCAGTATTTCCTCTGTCTCACGTTTGGCCTCTGTTGGAACGCATGGCTGTGCTGCATCACCGCGTGGTGAGGGCTGCGGATGGATTTGTTATTTACAAATATGTATGTTCGATAGATGAGATCTAGTCATATTACTAAAGACAACATCTCTGTAACGTGGAGCGCATATAAACTGAGTTAAACCAGAAATCAATTATCGTGGCGAGTTTTATAATTACGAATATTAGCTACAATCATTATCAATGACAGTTGGTGCAGGCGACGCCTTATGTATCCGCTGGCCAAATACTTCTCAAAAATACGCTAACGAGTATTGGTAACATGTCTCTGAGGTCTGAATGTCTTCGTGTAAGTATCTCGTTTTTTTAGGGCGCACTTCTCAATCAGAATTCTTTTTAGAAGGGAAAACCAAGTTTCCTAAAAAGAACTCTAAAAAGCTCAGTGTGCTTAGTAGAACAAGTCAGTATTTCCTACCGACCAATTGCCTACAACTATAATACGCATATATAATACTGTTTTCATGTCTACTATGGCACCTCAATACTAGCTCTTTCCTTTGATCGCATTCAACGAATACCTAATACCCCATGGGCGGCGTTGATTACACTAACCATGAAGTAATCCGCCGGTAGGAAGACCCGCTTACCTACTTTTCCATAAAATTTACATGGTCTGCAATGATTCTAATAAAACTAAGGGTTTCTTCACTCATTAACCATAAGAAGTCGCTCCTGCCCGACATGAGGAAGAACAGGGTACTAATAAAAGTGCGATTATGTTATCGATCCATAATGTCCAACACTTCAATGCCCTTAGATCACGTAAACCCCACAAACCTGTATAAACTTCAGAAAATTCAAAATAAGTTCATCCGCTTCGCAACTCGTGGTGATATTAACGCAAAGTACACGTACCCGACGCGGAAGGCCATATCAAGCTCGTGGGGTAACCAGAGCTAGAAATTATGCGTTTGATGAAGCTTTGATCGTCTAAGGATTGATGGCAAAATACTATGACGAAATGTAAGTGTATTAATTTCATAACGAATATTCAGCTGCAATAATAAGCTTGGAATAGCAACAAACTTACAATTGCCTCCGCCTTTTTTGTAACCAAAACAGGATTATCATATCGAACAAGGGTGTCTTCCGTAGAGATCGCGGTCCTTTCCGCCATTTTTGGTGCAAAAAAAAAGAAAACCAAGACAAAACGAATTGTTCTTTGTCACTAAAAATATTATGAATCAAATTCAAAATATTGATTAAACATAACAGTAGACATATAGGGCCGTTGCTATGACAACAATTCACCAAGGCTTAAAAACTTTCTCACACTAAACAGAAGCTACGTGAATAGAAAAGTATTGTAGCTGTTTTTTATGTAGGAAGGTGGAAATCTGAAGGTGGAAGCTGGCGATTACGTGATAACCGCGGCCCTTAGACATTTGCAACATTGGTAGTGTTGCAGATGCGTTGCCTATATAATAAAGTGTGCCCCGGCTCACACACGAAACGAAACGCAGAAGTTTAACACTTCCACTTCGCTTCTGTTGTCTGTGAGGTCTTTGTGCTCTTCCGGACGAAACGCAGAAGTTTAACACTTCCACGTCGCTTCTGTTTTCTGTGAGGTCTTGTTACCTACTTCCCTGGACTGACCTGCCCATTTGTGCAACGGCGAAGACTGTGTAGTTCTTATTTATTAGAAAGTGGGTGATTATGGAATCCGATATTTTGTAAAATGATGAACCATAATAAGATCAAGGCTTGTATAATCGGGTCATCCGCCCCACCCCATTTTTGATTTGACATTTGACAGTGCAGTTTTAAAGCTATCCAGGGTTTATTTTTTTAGGATGGTGATTTAGAAGCCAAGATCGTCTTTAATACACAAGACCAGTAAAATAAGCATAACAGCATTGTTATGCTCTAATTTTACTGACACAATTATTTTAAGAACTTGTTGGCCACCTCTTTCTTCTTGTTGACCACAGGAATAAGAGGGAGCGCTGAAGACGAAATAAATATTTGTATTCTTCTGACATGCAAGACATTTAAAAACACAAACACAACTTGTAAAGTTACAGCCTATACGTTCCAATGCTGGGGAAAGGCCTCCTCAGTACAGAGGGTATTAGGGCACAGTCCACTACTCGACCCCACTGGATTGGTGGAATTCACGTCTTCGAAATATTCTTTGTTATTTTGAAAATATGCAGGTTTCCTTCAGTAAGCACGTGATAAGTCAGCACCTAAAATTAACAATTTCATTGGTGCCGTTCACCAGTATATTGAATTAAAACCGAACGCCCAGACAATGAGCTATCATGGTTTAAAGTTTTTTTTTAATGGCTAACATATTGAGTTACTAAATTTCTGACCCCAACCAACTGCTACTTTGTACAAATATTGGGCATCAGAGTACTACTTTCATATTTGTGTTTGTTCAGCCAATTGTTTAACTACTCTTGAGCACAGGTACAGAGTCCCAAAATTTGTATTCTATTCAATACATGTAAGTTTTCTGTTTGTATTTTATATATTTAAACAAAATCATTCGGTTGAAAAACTTCAGGTTTTTATTAGATCTCTACGAATATATCAGTTCAAATACAGATTTAACAAATAATCATTTAATTTAAATAAAACCTTAAATGCACTTACAAATTAAGTATTTATTTACAAAGGAAATATGTTAATTTTAATCATCAACCCCAATTTATTTCTTATGATAACAAAGAGTTTATTGCGAGTCGCTGCTAGAACTAGAACTTGAATCTGTTGACATAACTTCCACATCTTCTTGATTAGGAGCATCCTTGCCACGTCCATCTATCGCCACTGAGTTTCCACCTCCAACTGACATGTGAAGCTCTCCTGAAGAGTGCCAAGTGAATTGGTTGGTTGCTGATGCCGGAACTGAAATATTGTAGATCATTTCTAAAATCATTATGACCTATAAAAACTGTTTGCAAAAAAAAGTACCAAAAAATTTTAAGTACAGTTTTATTAACAGTCAAGATACTAAAAGTAATATGAGTCTAAACTAAAGCATGAATCTTTTTGTTACTATATTGTATGGGATCTCAAGTGGCCAACATTTTGTTGAATATTGCTGTGTTTTATGACCATAAATTCTTAGATAATTATAATTATATGTTATGGAAACGACTACATTAAATACTGACTGATAAATAATTTTCTATGGTTCCGTACCCAAAGGGTAAAACGGAACCCTATAACTAAGACTCCGAGGTCTGTCTGTCTGTCTGTCACTAGGCTGTACCTAATGAACCATGGTAGTTAGACAGTTGTAATTTTCATAGATGTGTGATTGCTATAATAAATAATACTTAGAACCGGACGAAACAATGAATGTCATCCCCAGGGGTTATTATCATTTATATTCTAATTACCCTTATTTATTTATTACAAGCCTGTGTTTATTCCTAGTATTTACATTATGTACAACAGTGTTCTTATCAAAATTATTGTTTCCATGCATATATTGATGCCAAGGTTAAAATATTTATTTCTTTAATTTCCTATCTCAGAGATGCCTCGGTATTTAGATTATAAATCACTCTTATGGCCCTTTTTGCAAAGTAAATATTTTTTCTACATCAACTGCATGCCCCCATAGCAAAATACTGTATGACATTATGCTATGGAAATAATTAAAATAAACAGCTGTCTGTTTTTTTAAATCAGTCATCATCTTATTTTCCTTATAACATATGCTGCAGGTTTTAGTCTAATAGCAAGATTGGATATATGGGAGCCCCATTGAAGCTTTGCATCATGATTTATTCCAAGAAAAACAGTTGTATCCGCAAGCTCAAACTCCTTCCCATTTATAAGTACATTGGTTTGTTTATTGCCATTTAATAGTAAATTATTAGCATTAAACCAATGATTTATTTCTGACATAGCATTATTTACCTCAAGTGTTACAAGATGTTGTTTGGTTTTGAACATTAATGTAGTATCATCGGCAAACAACACTATATGATGTTTATTCCCAATGTGTAATTACAAATGTCCAATCATAACTATACTTAATATTTATAGAAGATAAATATATATGTAAACTACTACAATATGGAAAAATACAAACATTGATATTGACCAAGTAGTTACAAAGTCTGTTTACTTGGAATTGGAGATATTACATGCTAATGATAATTATAATAAGGAATACAAATTACCTCCACCAGTAGTTATTCTGTGTAAGTCATTTAGTGTGGATGGTGCATGACCATTTAGTGGTAAATCACAAAGCCTCCCAAGCATTCCAAGTCTCATTTCAAGATCTGTTGGATATGGCCTTCGTGGATCTCCAGGTTGCCAGGACAATGGTGCACTGACTGCATTAGAAGCACTTATCCTAGAAATAAGGCAATTATCCTTTTAATAGAAAGAAAAGTCAATATTTAGTTAAAACAATCCATTAGATAATATTTAAATGTGTTTTAACAATTAGTTGATAAAGAAACATATAGTAAACTAAGAACATAAAAAGGATTTTTGTAGTGTTATGGTATGCTAAGATACAAATATTTGAACACAAAGGTAAGTCATTTTGTTCAAATAACTATGTTAAATTTTTAACAAACCTGTGGGCGAACTTTATAAGTTCCTCAGATGGGACTGGTCGTTTACGCGATTTAACTATAGATGCAAGTTTTTGTCGAGCTTGGTACAAGGAAGTAGCCAAAATCTGTTCAGCATCCTTTAATTGTCTTTGTAAATGATGTATATCTTGATCCTGAGGAATTTTTTTTATTATATAAAGCCAATACTCTTGTTCTTTTCTTTAAGTTGTTTTGATCCTAACCATTTTTTACTAAGTTATGTTACCTTATTATCTACTTCAGATTTCAGATCGTTCATTTTCTGCTGAATCTTAGCTTGTTCGCCAGCTAATTCCAAAGTTTTCTTTAGTTCAATATCTTTTGCTAACAATAAATCGGTCAATTGTGCGTGGTCTGCAGCTGACAGTTTTTGAGATTTCGGTGCTATGGATACTTCTATAATTTCTCTGAAAACGAAACGGTACTGATGAATAAAACATAATAACATAAAGAAAAGGAATAGTAAACAAAAAATAAAATTATTACTTAGCTATTAGTTCCATATCATCTATTATGGACAACAATCTATCCTTCGTACTTAAATGAGAAGCCATTTTTATTACACAGACTTGTATTATATTGTAATAAAAAGATAAATTTAATATTCAATCTGATTAACTAAGAGAACGCAAAACTTAAATAATATAGGTAATTACTAATTAGGTACTTCGAAATCAATGTTTTTAAGTTTTAAGTCAAAATCAAAAAGATACTGACACTGACTGTCAGCGTGACTCTGACCAGATTTTATTTGACGAATCTACTGCTTATCGAGGTTAAAAACTACTGAAATCTACCAAAAGAGAACGAGAAAACACTAAAATCATAAATCTAGTATATTTTTTGCTGTCGTGTAACCTATAAACATGATTTTTCTTGATTAAACGATAAAGTAATAAAAATAACAAAGAAACCAATGTTTTTTTAAGTTAAATTGTAAATAAAAATAAAATTAAACTTAAAGTTAAAATTTTTCGCCTTTATGTTGGGTAACATTGTTATAAAGCTGTTTTGAGTCCATGTGATCATACTTCTGTCACGATCAAATCTCCTAGATTCTCCTTCCAACTGACCCCTCGTAACCCTTCTTTTCCATGCATCATTGCATGCAATATTGTTATTATTACATTGATTTCGATCTTAATTTTTAATCCTATTAATATCGGAAAATATTCTTTCTACTTTGGCGTTTGCCAAAGGTAGTATCGTCATTTGCTTCACAAATCGGAACAAATTGCCATACTTTGGTTTGCTATTAACATCACAGATTTGGCTGACATCACTACAAAATGTATCCACTAAAAACTTCAGATATATAACTAGCAGTTGACAATGAAGGTTTTTTTAACATAATACAGGTTCACACTACTGCATAAGTCGAAAGTATTAAAAAAGTCAAGTAAAAAAAGTCTTAACAAGAATAATTAACTAAGAATTACATTTCACATATTAACGTTAGTAACTTGCATACCTGAGAAATGCCGGAATATCCTTTCATATTTTTATATGCTTTGATGTAGCCATGTGTTCCTTCAACGACGCCAGTCTACTTAGTACTTCACAGTTGCATGCTTTACAATGAGCACTCGTAGTGTTTACCTTAGATTTACATAACCAACTTTTAAATGGGGGATATTGCTCTCATTTATCGCGATATCCTTGTGTATATTTAAGTTTCATTTAAAACTCGATTATAAAAATCAATAAAAAAAAAGCTCAATAAAGGAATTCCGACTAGTCTATCACACTATGCTCACGGCACGAATAAAACGACCAACAGAATGAAATTTAAATAGTAACAATCCATTCTATGAAAGGGGGAATACCCCGCATTTGTCGGATAGGCCAAAAAAGTATTATAATAACTGATAAGAGTGAATTCTACTAAAATATACCAAATAATTTTTACATACTAAATTCTGTCGCCAGTACCTCAAAATCTACCAAAAAGTAGAAATTTACTAAATTTGGTCATGCTGCTGACTGTGAAGTGTGACAGATGTAGATATGACATATTTCATATTATTTTATACTTTTTTTTTAAATGAATTTACAATCTTTATTTATCTGATATTTACAAGATTAAATCTATCTAAAATTAAATATTATCTAATAAACCTAATCCACGCGGCATGGTGTCAAGAACGCTAGCTGCATTTCCTCGCTGAATGGTTATGCTTAACCTTTGAGCGAGAAAAGAACCAGCTCTCTTGTCACCAGCCGCGGCGTTAAGCCAAGGACATAAACTTTTAAAAAATTTGGATGTGCGGGGACCCCACGGGCCTAAAGTTTCAACAGCAAATGGCACAAATACATAATCTAAAAATAAAGACTCATATTTGCGCCATTTACTTAATTCAGCTGCCTCCGATGCCGCCCCGGCCCTGACCGAAGTACCCCTTAGATGAGAGGCAGCCAAAGTGTCTACACAAGTGGCGTCCCAAACAAGGGCTTTGCCTCTCTCCCAAGGGATCAAAGTCAAACCGTCGAGTCTCTTACCATCGTCGCGAAAAGTGCCACCGGGTTCTAACATAGATGGAAACAAGAGCCCTACGGATGATGTTCAGGGAACCGTGGCGGGAAAAACGGCACTTTTTTTGACAAGAAAGCCCGTGGAGACCAAATTTGTCTACACTGACACGACAAGGGCATTAATAATTGTTTAATAAATAACTTGGAATTTTAGTTGAGGGCTGAATGCCCGTCTTGTAGTGAGTCTCGGGGGCTAAATCCTAAATACCCATAACTCGGACATGTTTACTCAACCGGCAATGGCCTTTTGGTTATAACCCGCAAAGAGGGCCTATCCCTAATCACTGCTGCGGTGTTAGTGTAGTAGGGCAGGTATGTTATGAGGAATCATAGATATATTTCAGACCAAAAATAGAAATGGAGAAATTAAACATCGATATTTACCGAGTTATTAAATTTTACAAAACAAACATTTTTAGAACATTACGTATAAAACTGTAACGTAAAATTCATTTGTAAAAGCATATGAATGGGTTGAATGAATTTAAAAGAGATAAAACATACTATTAGAAGGAGAGACTTGTAATGCGACGTTGTGGCAACGAATAAAAAAGTCTCTGAATGTATGAATCAGTCTGTTGTAGTCGTATAGGATGTTACAAATTTTGTTTCTTATTTATTTAATTAGTTTATTTGAAAAATATGTTTTTTTCACGGTTTATATTTCTTTATGATTATTGGCAAGTAGCGTTAGACGTGTGTTCATTTATTGTCGCGGTGTCGTTACACGCTAATAAATATATATTGTATATCGATACCTTAATTGGTAAACCAGCTAACTCCACCTTTGGTCAAAAATATTATTTGGCTTTGATTGTACGCAATAATAATTCCGCGTGGTTTGCAAAAACAATAACTCCGATATAATTACTATTTCTTTCTATAAATCGCTATTCGCAAATCAGCCAACTCCGCATGTCACGGAACGTTACAATTTTAACAGCTAACTCCACCAAGTCGGCTATTTCGTATGGCGTCCGTGTCATGTACGGTTACCTACCCTACGTTATTTGGAAAAAAAAATTATATAAACGCAACAAAAAGAAAGGTAGTGTTGAAAATCAATTGAACATTAATGCACAGTATGGATAGTTATTTAATTCTTACAAAACAGTGCTAGGTAATTGAGCAATTTTAAAATTTAATATTGGCTTTGAGTTTTGAGTTGGCCGGCTTGCTTCTTACTTTATTACGCTACGGTTGGAAGTTATACATTTTTATCTGTTTCCCAAATTGAAAGAATACTTAAGGGGAAACAGGTAACAAGACGATAACGAGGCGATGGATGCCGTTGAGAGCTTTTTGCAGGACAAAGACAAAACTTTTTTTTGAAAGGGATTGAAGCCTTGGAAAAGGCGTTGGAATCGATGTGTAGAGAGATTCTGAGACTATGTAGAAAAATAAAATATTAAGTTATCAATAGTCATTATATTCTATCTCATTCTCACTTTTTTTTGATCCCTCCTCGTATATGTGATGTCAGGTGTCAGGTGGTGGACTATAATACCCTAATATGCTCTGTACAGAAGTGGCCTTTGCCCAGCCGTGGGTGGATGTTTCTCGATAGATTAAATATATTTGAATACGAAAAACGCGCGTGCTTAAATGTAAACAATTACCGTAGTTTTAATACGAAACATTGTTTTATTCCTTACTTTAGGTTAACTAAAGTTAACTTAAACGACGTTCGAAATTCACTCGACTTTCTATTATAATTATGTGTCAGACTTAGGAATGAAATGTGATCGTGAATCCACGTACTTACATGTTTACACCCTTTAAAAAACCAAACTTGTTTTGAAATAGGATGGTTTATGGTAGCTATGCATTGAATTAAAATTAACTTTTACAACGAGCAGGTGGTTAAACTGATGGTACGTGAAATTCACCAGACGAAACGCGAATATGTGATACTTCTAATTCAAAAGCCGGTCTTCTGTGAGGCTCCGGTAGTTAGTACTTCCTCGGCAACCGTGCAACAGCGGAAGCTGCTGCGTGGCCCTACCCAGTCCATAGTATAAAATATCATTGGGGTCTATAGATCTGCTGAGTTGCTCTTTTTTCGGGCTATTAAACTGTTATTAATTGAAGTTAATATGCGTTCAAAATACTGAGTTTGTTAACATGTCATCATCATCATATCACCCGTAGGACTTCCACTGCTGAACATAGGCCTCCCCCATTGACTTCCACTTCGACCGGTCGGTAGTGGACGAGTCGATGCGATCTTTACCATGATCACGTTGTAAGTATAATAGAATTTGCGTACCATTCCAGACTCAATGCTAAATTGACATACAATATGGTACTTTTTTCGTGGAAGTTATGCCTGTTTAATAATTATTAAAAAGTTTACTTTTAAAAAGGTACTCGTGAGCATAGCTTCGGTTGCAATACCATTTTTTATATTCTCCTTCAAATTAACTTCAGGGCCTCAGTAAAGATTATGTTATACTACGTTAATAATATGTATCGAAATCAACAATGACGAGGTTGGTTAAATATTTTTGAATAAACAAGTAAAACTAAATGCGTTATAACTTGATAGCAACAGCTAATAATTTAGTAAGCGCAATTATTTCTTTGTTTCTTAACAAATGACTTGTATGCAGTTACGCGACTATTTGGCGAATGGCGCACGAACGAACCGGCTTTTTGTGCACGCGGTTAGCTCGTGATCACGGTCATGGCGGGGTTTGTTCGGGTGTGCGGGGAGGGATTGTGCACGCACTAGACATGCGCTCTCCACGTGCTCTTGGTACTTTATTGCTGTGCAGCGACTTTATATGTATTTCATGTAAAAAATAACCCTTTTTTTATTTTATAATTTTACGCCTTTTCATCAAACATGTAAATTTGATTGCCTATCCAAAAATATGAAGAAGCGAAATGTGAGTAAAGATTAATGTTTTTAATGAAAATGTCGCGCCCGGCATTATTTTTTTCCAATTTCATTATTTGTAACGTTGTGACTGGCCTACCTCGATTAAATGTGATTTTAATTCAGAGCATAAATACAACA